GTCTAACGACCATGGGAACCACTCTTTCTTGTGGATAAAGACAGAGGCTGAGCACCCTCCTGTGCAGTGAGCAAAAATTACAGCTGCCCTTTGTGGCTCTGCTATCTAATTTTCATTCAAGGTTCTATCTCTACACAAAACCCAAGACTCCGGGATCTAATTCACCAGCTTTGAAGCAATTACATAACACCATTTCAGTGGAACTACTCTCCGTTTAGAATGACTTAATGGAAACGAGCACACTGCTGCACACAGAGAGCTAGCAAGATTTCTCGGAATCTCATGGAACAAGATGATGTCATTGCATTATGAAAATATCTGGTTCAAATTCTTTGTGAGTCTGCTCGACAAAGCTTACAGATCAGACTTCAACAGTGAAATTCAGGCTCCTCTGCCATCACTCCAGTGATGAGCTATCAAAACTGGTCTCTATTCTTCTGTGCCTTAAATATGGGAGCACAGAAGCTGTTTTCTTGGGCTCGAAATTCAAACTGAAGTAAGGGTTGTATAATTGCAGGAGCTAGTTTTAAAAAGATTTGAGCATTCCAAGCTCAGGAAGCATTCAAATTTTAAAGGTCATTTTAAGCCTCTTGGCAAGATTTTCAAATCCTTCAAACGATTTCAACTAAACCCTCTTAATTTTGCAGAAGTCTTCCATACTCCAGTAACATTTTGTGTAGAAGACAACCAATAAAGCCTTTGAATATTCAGGACATTCTGCTATTTTACAGAATCTTGCAAGGAAACAGTTTTTTAACATATCATTAACTACAATTCCTTTCCACATAGCTGAGATCAGTTCCTTTAAATTTCACCAAAGATGTATGCTGTACATATAATTTTAAAGGACTAGTTCCTTCCACACCTTCTGATGAAAAACAGCGATATTACAGTTTATTATGAGGAAAAAAGGATTAAGATTGTAACCCCTTAATCTGTTCTACGCAGGAAGCCTTCTGCAGAGCTCCTTTAGGAATTAGGGCTAGGATACGAAACATTTTGTTCTAATACTTCTATGTATAGAACCAGCTCTCAGCAATTTCTAGTACAGAGTAACTACTGGAGAGGGAAGCAGTGTGCTGCCAGGGCATCGCTGGCAGAGTTTCACAAGGATCAGTGTTTGTTCCAATATTGTCTCATACATTTAACAACCACAGTAAAAGCAGGTATACACTGATGAAACCCGCCGATAGCATCAATTAAGGAGGTACCACCTATACCTATGAGGATGAGAAAGTCTGGGATACTTACATCTGAGTGTACTTACACACCCGAAAACATGCCTAGACACCGATTCAGCTATCTGTGTGAAATTTATGGGCATCGTAGGAGGAGAGTCCAAATACAGACTGGTAAATTTATTATTAGGTATTACACGACCGAGTGTGTGCAGTACCCATGGGAAAAGACATCCAATTTTATGCTAATAATCTCTAAAATCTTTCTTGTGTCACGGGTTACTAAATTCAGAGGTCATTAATAGCACCATGAAAAAAAAAACCTGTTAAACAACAACATCACCAAAGAGTTACATACCTTCTAATGAGCCGTGAATTGGAGATAAATCAGCAAGTGACCTGCACAAGCAAACATTATTGATTAATAAGCTGCCATGAATTAATTTCATATTTGCAGTGCATATAACAATGAGAAATAGTTTGAGAACAACTTTGATTTAAAACTACATTTGTACCTTAATGCATTTTATAATTACAAAAAAGAAACAGCTGAATGAGGCTTTTATATTTGTACACCTCCAGGCAACGTACAGAAGGCATGCATAATTTTCAACCTTAAAATACTATTTAAAAATAAAAGATTTACAACAGCTTTTCCTGATTTGAGAATCAAATGAAGATTTTTCACAGTGTCCTTCACAATGCAAACACTATGCGAATGACTAACTGGGCAAAGAGAATGAACAATATGGCATAACAGAAGTCAAACACAACTGGTTTGTGTTACCCTTGGAAGGATGGGGATATAGCCGCGTAATTCTTAGCATGCTTCCAGCCGAGCATCTGAAATCTGCATTGGTGCTGCTACTGAGCAGTACTGCGGTAATTAGGCAGCAGTACTCAACACATTATAAGGTCATTTTAGTTCAGAGGGCCTACAGGAACAGGAAGCTTGTGTTTAATACTTCAGCATATCTGTAGTAACCAGGCCAGGTTTCTTCCAAGACATCAGCCACAGCCCAAGTGAAACACAGAGCACACAAGGCCTGAGAATTCCAGTCAAGAAAGCCTTGACAGATTCCCAAAACATCAGAAAAGTAGGCCAAATTGCTGCAGACGCCTCCTTAAAACCTACCTCCAACAGAAACAGAGATGTGTCCAGGTTCTCAGCTTCTCCCTCAAGCATAAAAGAGAAAGTTCATGGTTAGATGGCTTGCGTTACTAAACACCAGGCCACTCTGCTCTTCTAAACCCTTAGTTTTTCACCTCTTAAGGTGTCTAAGCGCCTGTCCTTTACCTCTCCCGGGGTTACTGACCCCACAGCATCTCTGTATTTAAAATTCTGAATAAAAACAGTACTTCTGTTTTAATTCAAAACAAAACAGGCCTGATTTTCAAAACTACTCGGCTATTAGGCACCAGCTTCAGTGTGAGCTGTGTACCTAACCACTTTTAGAAAAATATCAGTGCCAAGGAAAACAGATGCCATTTCTGGATGCAAACTAATTTATTCAAGAGCACATTTTGAAAGAAAACTCTGTATCTGTTTAATTTCAAGCTTCTCCTACGAGCTACAGCAGTATTAACTAAGGCAGCGTTTTCCTCAGGTTTCCTAGGAGGCAAAGCCAATTTCCAGACAGCAGAACTTCCCTGCGGTGAGCGCTAATCGCCACCGAGAAGCAATGATACCGCAGCACATATATGTATTTACAGATATTTCTTAATTTCCTTCGTTATTAGTGCTTTCCCAGGTTAATTTTAATTGAGGCTTTAAACAAAGAGCAA